TTTTGTATTTTAAATGCTAAATGAAAAATACGTATTTTCAAGTATATAAATATTCAATTATAAAATATTTTGTAGGCATTTGCTTATTTTTTAAATACATGAGTTTTTCTAGACTAACAGTGGTGTTTGCACTATATCACCAGCTGAGAAGATTGAGTATGATTCGTATTTTCTGTTTAAAGTGATTAATAAGAGTAAGAAATGGAATATATAGTTTCTTTAGCTTTGGGTTTATCTAAAAGTGAAGTTTGTCGAATCGTCTTCTATGAATTTTGGATTATAGGCATTTATTAGCACACCACATTATCTTGTAGTTTTCAGTTTTACACAGCTGACGTATATCAATTGGATATTGTTTTGCAGGCTGTTTTGTCGTAATTCATAGAATTCCGTAGTTCTTTGCTAAAGGTACGATAAGTGGTGACCTGGCAGGTGCCAATATCATTTAGGATCTTCAAAATTCCACAGACCATGACATTGAACCCAGAAAACAATATTGATACAATATTTTAGATTATCCATTTCCAAGAAGTTTAGAAATTGTTGGGCTCTCATCAATTAAAGAATTAGAAGGCATTCATGGAATGTTTCCTTGTTCCCCTTTTAAGCTTCTAATACATTTAATAGCCATTGTGAGCAACATTCATTCATCATTTTATGGTCGGTGGTACTAGCAAGAATTTCAACGGCAAAAATGTATTTTCCATTTTATAAATCGAAAATACCTTTGGGAAAAGTATTTTAAATAAAATACAAAAAGCTTTTCTCAAAGAAGTATTTAAATGTAAGATAAAAATAGATATTTTTCATTTTGTATTTGCACTTTAAATGCAAGCATTTCAAATAAATCACATCTCTACCTAGGAGACCGTCGCCGAGTAACAAACTTGGACTTAATTCAATCATTATTGACTAAGTTGCATTTTTTTTATAACAACTTTGCAATGTGCTTAATAATAAGCTGCATTTTTCTTTTACACCTATGCGTTTTTGCAGATGAGTTGATCTCTTATGCTCACAAAGTTTGTAGACGGTCTCACGAACAGAATGCAGAAAACCGCATCTCCATGCAACTTATTGCACAAACATTCGAAGTTGGCCTAGTTTTGTGCTTTATTTCCTTGACTATATGTTCGTTTCATGCGAGTTGCTATATAACGAAATCGTGCAACGGATGTCCCCCCTCTACTCGGCCACGTAGTCGAGTTCGTAGTGGGGATCGCTTGAGCCGTGAGCGCGCTTCAATGCAACGTTCGTTACAGGCAACTCAGGCATGTACAGTGTAAAATTTAAATTCATAATGTACAAATAATACCATTAAACCAATTCCTTAACCCCTATCCCGGTATGTTTGTGTGTTTGAGGAAGTTTCACTTCAGTAGCGTGTTGTATAATCACACGTTGTATTTTTTATCAATTATGACACGCTGATGCGTTATACTTTTTATGGTTTTGTAGGTACATATAAGGGATAGTATAATTCTATAATAGGTAATTTTTTGGACAAATTCTGTGACAAATGTGATTAATAAATGTAATTATTTAAAACATTAAATTATTTTGTGTTTAATTGAAATTTAACTCAAAGATTATTACTACCCTATAGGTATTTATACAAAATCTAATTTAACAATATTATAGAAAGTTACATGTAAACGTCTCAGACAGTGCATGTTTTGGTATTTGTAATGCGATAAAATATTGTATTATTGTTGTTACTATTTGAAATTAGTGTTCACATTAGTGGAAAAACAATAATTTAAATATAGTGACATGTAACAATCGAGATAAATACGCACAAACATAAAGTAAACAGTTTTTCACCCCTCTTCAGATTTAAATGGTATCACCTTTGAGAAATAAGCTACCCAATAAAAAACGAATCATTAAAATCCCTGTACGAAGAAGTCGAAGCAGTCGAATTGTTGCACTACATTATTGAAATTTTACAATTCATTAGAAGTAGTGGGAAATAGCAAAAAACACGATAGATATGTCCTGTTTGAATAGTAATTTATGTAATTTTCTTTTACATTTTGGTGTTGTAATTCTTTTTTTTGTGACAGCTTCTTTGATTTCTACAGACGACCTACATTAACTCATTAACACATTTAGTTGTGTGCAGAACGTTTTTATGCACCTCTAAAGCCGCTTTTTAAGAACACTTTAAAAGTCGTCCCTGATTGAGACTGTGTCGGGATTGAAATGAAAAGGTGTGAGATTGAGGTAGAATCCAAAAACGATTTGTGGGGCTAATAAGCGAATGAGTGAGTGAGTTGGGTGTGCGAAACCTCGCTGGCTGGCACTGGTTTTACACGGACGGTATTGTAAACATTGGAGGGCACCCCAGTTGGCGTGAACGTTCTTCTTCCGTGCCAACTGGAGCCGTCAATGGACACGCACTTTGGCACTTTCGCGTAATAAAACGGGGAAGTCCCCCTACGCATGCCAAAAACTACACGTTCCGGTACTACTAATGTCACGGTCGTATTTTGTTATTTTTCGCACTTTTGTTGCCAAATATTGAAAAGTATTCTTTGAATCTTTATCAATTGTTTTTAATTTCTGTTTGTTCTCGATTTTTTCTTCTAATGAGGTGCAGAATCAAAGCTAGAAAGGTAAAAGGCTTTCTTTTTATTGCAAACTTATCACCGATGTTTCGCCTTGGATGTAAAGCTTTCATTAAGACTATTCATCATCATGATGTCGCCAGTCCTAAAACTAGTTGGACACTCACCTCTACTCCTTCTTATCCTGAGCTAATCTTCGCATTTCCCTAAAACTAGAACATCCCACATCCACAACTATTTGTGAACAATAATCTAATCTAGGTCTACTTCTACTCCTCTTAACTCCTGTCCCTGCCTCTAATATGTCTCTGACCAGACCTTCATACCTGAGGTGTCCTACCAACCTATCTCGCCTATTTTTATTGACTTCCATATAGTCCTCTGCTCTCCTATTCTTTCTAATACCTCGCCGGTAATCACATTTCGAACGCTTCTAACCTTTCTTTTTCCGCCGCACCCACTGTCCACGTTTCGCACCCGTACAGCGCCGCGCTCCTAACATACACTTTTAATAATCTTTTTCGAATTTTTAAATTAATCGTTCGCGGGCATAGAAGTGAGTTCTTTTGGTTGAAAGGCGACTCGACTCTGCGCTATCCTCTGCTTTATATTCCTACTACTAACCTAACCTCCTAAATACCTAAAATCAGCCACTTCATCTCATCTTTCGTCTCCTACCTTTATATTCGCTCTTTCCCTACTTTTTCTTCCCTTACATACCAGTATTTTTGTTTTACTTACTTGACTGTTAGTACGTAGTATTAAGTTGCACGTTTATTTGTTTTTTTCTAGTGTATTTTTTTTATTTTACAATTCCCAATCGGCGCCCAAATTGTAGACTTTATTGTAAGGCGTATCTCATCGATTTTCACAGCGTACGTGATTTAGTATTTCCATTTAAGAACTCTGCAGAGCGCAAACATTTCAGCAGATTTATGTATTTCTTCAGGACGTTTTTACAATTAGGTACTACACTGGGCGCGGACCGCTTTTTTTATTTTGCTTCTTGAAACTTTTCCGGATGCTTCTTTCGTTTTTTTTCTCTTTCGAAACTAGTCAAGCGTAAAAGAATATAGAAAGAACAGAATGTAAAAGATTAGATATTTCTTTGTTAATCTAATAGAAAGGGAAAAATTCGGAAATTTACAATATCAGACAATAAAAAAAAAAGCACAATTACTTTTTCTTTGAGGATGTACTTGAAAATTTGTAACTAGATGTCATGGTACTGATTTAGAAATTGCAATTTATTTGAACCCAGATGATGTCTTTACCTCTTTTAAAGATTTTTTGACGTCAACAAAGGTGTTTTTGTTGATTTTTTATAAGTATTTTTGCTTGAAAAAATTATACTTATTTTAAAAACTTAATTTAACCTACTAAATTACTTGCAATTGGCCATAACATAAATTTTTAAAGAGAAAACCTTGTAATACTTATCAAGTTTTATATTAATTGAAGAATAACAGTAAGTAAAAAAAACACATTGGCTCTTTATCATTTGATAAAGATGCAGTTTAACAAAACAACTGTAACGGACAGTCCTGAAGTTCCTTATAAAGGGAATGTTTTTTAATGGAATTTTAAAAACAGTTGTGAAAAGCATTATGTAAAGTTGAAAGTATCCTTTCGTGGTAGGGACATTTAGCCGAAAGCTATTTCACATTAGAGCTGTCGCCGACAGTTGTAGGAAATTTAGTTTAGATAACTAAAACTAGCTTAAATTAGATTCCCTTGAGATGACAGTTTCATTGCAGAAAAATTAAATAATCTAACTTTCTAAAACGGTTTTCTTTTAATAGATGCAGTAAATACATAAATCGGAATTATTAATTAAGGATGTGATAAACAAGTTAATAAATAGATAAATTCTATTTGATATATAATCATATGAAATACTTTTAATAGTAATTGATATTTAATATTAATGTGAAAATTCATAATTTAATTTTTAATCATTACCAATCTCATCATATTATGAGGAAAGATAATTGTTGCTGTTGTCATATCCGGGTTCGATTCTCGGCGAGGGTGCGACAGTAGGAAATATTTTACTTTATTAATTTGAGGTAATTTGTAGTGTATAAAAATTAGATTTAAAATTTAACAATGATTCTGGTTTAGAGCATGTATCTTAAGAAAGTAATAACTCATCAAATTTCTTCTTTTACAGTGAATATAATTATACGTAATTAATTATCTATAATTTCGTGATTTCTGTGTAAGAAACGGTTCACTCTGTATATACGTCATAATAAAACACATGTTAAACTTACCATTTTTGAAATTTTATACGATCGTTCCTCATTATCGAAATCCGAAGTTCTTGTCGCGAATTAACCTCGTGGTGGACGTCTACATGGGCTCTCGAGGGTGATAGAAGTAGGCGAAGTACATCGAAGAAGACGATACCGACGTCGACGACGTCTTGGACGCCTGACGTCAGCGGTAGTTGCTGTTCCCGTCGTGTTTTCACGCGGACTAAAGCCGCATCGTGGTATGTGCGCTGGCGAGGCTCCAACGCGGTCGTCCTAGTCGACGACGTCTCTTACCCCCACCGTCGCCATTACGACGACGATGTTTACTACTGCAACTGTGCGTCGCGACGCACGCTGTCCTGATGACGCGTGACGACGAGTTCGGTTCGCGTGCTCGTAAAAAGTTTTCCTCTTTACTGTTATTGAAACTAAGTAAACAAAAAAGATTGGGAAACTTAAGGGTAGAAAAGCGTTTTTTGGTTATGTACGATAAATACATAAAGGAAACTACAGGATGACTGTATATCTCCATTTTTTTATTCTGTTTGCTCTTTTTCGGCATAGTAAAAAGGAGCTTCTTTATTGAAAGGTCGCTCCAGAATTTTAAAAATCCTAGACATATGTTCTTGTCTATATTAAGAATGATGAATTTTTCTTTAATTTTAACAAAATATTTATTTTTAGAAGTCACACAATAATAAACGTGGGGTCTTATGGCTGGCGTCCTCAGTATTATTATTATTTGTTTTCGGGCTTTCCGATCGTTGTCTTTGGAAATTGTTTCTTGACGTTTCGTCCACAACTGCGTAGGCATGTTCAAGGGTAGCACGTTGCTCTTCTCGGTCTTAATTGTCTTGGGTGCTAATATAGTACTGAGTTATGACCAAACCAAGAACAAGATACCAAAACCAAAGTAATCCTGATCTTGATCCTGTACATTATGCCTTAATTTTGATACATCTTGATCTTGTTCTTGTGATAAATATTATTATATCACTTTTTCTAGGGTATTTTTGCCAAAATTTCAATCTACTTTTCTACATACTTATCAATCGCCATCAGAACGATTGAGAATTGGGTCCACTTTTTATAATATACTTTAGCGTGGTAATGGGCTTGCAAAGGGTCGAGGGTAGAAGAAGCTTTCCCGTTATGGGGGGCGTTGCGAATAAAGACCAATTCTTGAAGTAATTCCATAAAATGCCGCTGGTGAAGTCAGGAACACTTTGACAGTGTTTTGAATCACTTCATCGGAGGTAATACGTAATCCGTCCAATAGTAGACGCCAAAATAGTTTGTTTACCGTGAAAGATCAGAGCCAAAATAGGGTTGCAAATAATTTTATTGATGTAAAACCAACATCAATCATTTTATATCAAAATATTTATAACTTCATTTTGTTTCTGGTCATTTACACATGCTAATAAGATAAAGAGACGGAATTCATAGTTTCTTTAGCTTCATTTGGGTTCATCTAATAAGTGAAGTTTTTTGAATCGTTTTCTAAGAATTTTGAATTATATGCATTTATTAAACGACTATACATAATCTCAGTAGGTATTTGTGAAAAAAATACCAATTGAATCTGACAGCGGAAACTTGAAAAACATTTTTTATGAATATGCAAAATAGATTTTCCTTTTGTATTTTAAATGCTACATGTAAAATAAGTATTTTCAAAATACTTTTTTCAAATAAATATTTTTTTTGTCGTGCCTATTTCATTTTCTACATTTACTTATCTAATTATAAAATATTTTGTAGGCATTTGCTTATTTTTCAAATACAGGAGTTTTCTAGAAATGGAATATATAGTTTCTTTAGCTTTGGGTTCATCTAAAAGAGAAGTTTGTCGAATCGACTTCCATGAATTTTTGATTATAGGCATTTATTAGCACACAACATTATCTTGTAGTTTTCACTTTTACACAGCTGGCGTATATCAATTGGATATTTTTTTGCAAGCTGTTTTGTCGTAATTCATAGAATTTCGTAGTTCTTTGCTAAAGGTACGATAAGTGATGATTTGGCAGGTGCTAATATCATTAAGGATCTTCAAAATTCCACAGACCATGACATTGAACCCGGAAAACAATATTGATACAATATTTTAGATTATCCATTTCCAAGAAGTTTAGAATTTTTTGGGCTCTCTTCAATTAAAGAATCAGAAGGCATTTATGGAATGTCTCTTTGGCCTCTCTTTAAGCTTCTAATATCTTAAATGACCATATAATATATAATATATAATGTTTGATCGATGATAATAGCAAAAAAACAAAAAAAAAAGTATTTCAATGCAATGTAAAAATAGGTACTTTTCATTTGGTATTTACATTTTAAATGCATGTATTTCAAATAAATCACATCTCTGCATGAAATAATAAAGAAGCACGAAGTAAATACTCAATCGCACTTGTGCTACCTATTAATAATAGAGTTTGTAAAGCTTTTCTCACGAGTGTGGCACTATTAACCTTTACATGTACTTTGAAGTATATGACAGTATTATGTACCTGTGTACCGTTACAACTCATTTAATAAAGCCGTGAGGAACATTGCAATTGTTTTCATTGGGAAATTCCGTTAAAGAATTACGCAAAATTGGCATACCAATCAAGGTCACCGTTTCTGGAGGAAATTAGTCTAGTATATACAGCGTGACCCAAAAAGGATTCACTATGATCATTACGACCAAACTATAAATACGTTTAACTAAAAACTATCTCAAACGAAACTTGTTCCTTATTTTAATAATAAACAACATTTCTCATAACGTTTTGTTTATTGTACCCATTTGTAATAGTATTACCATTTAATTCAAAACATTTAATATAGTTAGGAACACCTTGTGTAGTAAATTAAATTTAGTCTGTTAAAATGTTCTTTTGTTCTGTCTTTAAATGCCCTATCAGTTTGTTCTACAATTGTGAAAAAGTGTATAAGCGACAAAGTGGTTTATATATTAAAGTATTATCATCATCATCATCATGAAGTCTGTTGCGAATAGAGTGCAACAGAACTTTTTTAATCACTTTTTATTATTGAACACAACAAAACTACATTTAACACAATTAAAGGTTTATAATTTGGCTTGGATTTATAAAACATGCTTCTTTGTCTAAAGCTGGTAAGTGAGTGAATGATCTCAATACATCGAATCAGAATGAATAAAATACATATACATATGAAGTTCGCGAAATTCGTTCATATCGGTTGTATACAAAACAAATCAAGCACAAAACAGTTCACCATTACCGCTTCCCCTCACTTCACTGTTAGCGTGAACAAAGTCGTCAGTCCTAACACTGGTTGGACACGTACCTCCACTCTTTTTTAACCTGAGCTAATAATAATAATTGTATGTTTATATTTTTTCGTTTAGTAATTTGACAACTAAAGATGGTGCGCTGAAATAATTATGTTTGAGGTAGTGGATGTCCTTTGGGAATGTTAAAGGAAGAATCTCAATTGCCATTGAATATTCTTCACTTGTATATAACGCCAAGACCCTCGATAAAAATAGCTTCTTTAAAATAAAAACATTTACATCAAAAAAACTGTGTAAAGCTTATGAACATTTGTTAAAAACATTTTGAACTGTTTGTTTCATGAATTTAATAAAAAACTGCTTTCTCTCCAAATCTGCTTGTATGGTAGAAATTGAAAAGCCTTTGCGTGTATTTTGACTTTACTATTTACCTGCTAAGAAGAGAATATCAAAACATTTGGATTCAAATTCCATTTATTCTTCTTCCTTTGATTTTAATTTAAATATTGAAACTATTTGAGAGTAAATAACGTTTCTTACTGTTGACGAATTCATATGTACAAAGAATTTTATTTATTAACTTGCTATTCTCCCTGATGAAGACTTACGCCTAACATGAAACGCCAATAAAATATTTACCGATGTCCTGATTCGAGTATAAAGGCCGTCGTCGGTTGGAGTTACTTCCTAACGTTTCGCTTGCACACGTGGCGAACTTCTTCAAAGGTCCTTCCATCTTCGATGCTGGATGTTAACGTAAATCGACGACGACTTTTAGACCTGAATCGGGAGAGCATCAGTTCATCTACTGGCCGCAAAAGCCTTTACCAAAATATTTACCCTCAATAACTTTCTAAATGTAAATTCAAAGCAGTTGAAGTGGCAACATTTGGTTTAAAAAAGTTGTGGTTAGTTGAGGGTTTTCTACAGCTTGAACAGGAAACTTATCAAGAGTTCGTATGTTATTAGGTAGTCTAATTTTTTTTAACCTTTTCATTCTTTTTTATTATTCAGACGTATATAAATATTAAAGTTTTACTTAAAAAGATTTTTCTACTTTTCAGCTAATGGAAGATGGGGAACATTTCAGCTGTAAGTGATTTTATTTCTTATTATCCACAATTGTTGTGTACGTATGAATAATTCTCTAAAGGTTACTTAAAATGTTAAACTGGTGATTTGTGTATTTTAAAATGAAACTGGATTTAGTATAATTATTTATAGGTAACTTAGAGTCTTTGTAGCCATTACCTTGTGTAAATCGTTTACGAATACACTGAATTATTCTAAAATTATTATGGAGGTCACTTTTCTCTCTAAAAATACTTCAATTGTATAATTACGCAATTCAATTTATCTTCAACAAATATAAAGTCCAACAGTAGATTAGGAATATTTTACGAGTTTGGTGACAGGTTTAAATGTTTGAATTTAAATAGCCAAATGTTTAGATATACTTGAATGCTGATATTGTTTTATTTATTTAAAATATGTGGATATAGAGATATATTGAAAAGTATTTTTATATAGTATAAATTTTGAGTCTTAATTGTTCTTACAATATTTATTGAGTTATAAATAGTAACTATTCACACTCCTTAATTGACAAAAACTTTTTAACAAAAAAATNTTAATAGTTGTTCACTAACTGATTGTAATGTATGATCACGCATAACGTTTGACAGAATACCCAGATTTTGATAATTCTTTTTTTATTGGAAAGGATATACCCCAAAGTTGGTCTCGTATAAATTTGGAAAAAAAATCCAACCCTAAGGGTAGGAAAACAGGGGATGATTTATAGTAGGAAGTAGCAGTAGTAGTAATAATTAGATCATAGCCACAAAAATTATAAAATAAAAACTTTTTAAGAAAAAAATTAAACCGCCGAAAAAACTGAAAAGCAAAAAATAATAAACCTTTATTTTATTAACCTTAATAACTAAGTTCTTCAACTGATGTAAGTATACCTA